GGGGTATTTTCAGGAGATCTAGGCTCTTCTACATTCAAGGCTCCCTTTCTCCTCTAATAAAGGTTTGTTGCATTTGAGGCTTTGAATTTTTTTCATAGAGGTACATCTAGACAGGGGATCCCTATGGGTAAATTGAAATCTACTATTTTACCTCTAATTCAATTTCCACACCACCACTACCAAGTCCCCTTTCCCTCATCTGCCTCTTGTTTTCACAATTCCTGGCCAGGAAGCAATGGGCAATCATTACCTCTGGTCAAGAATTTTATGCACAAATATTCCGGTTTCCAGGTTTTGTGGGGATCACAGGACTATAGGATTGGAAGAGAACTTAAGAAATCGTCTCATCTGACCCCTGATCCTGAGGGAGATACAGAAGGCCATATGTATGAGGCAAATCAAACCCCCCTCAGACACTTGCTGGCTGTGGGATCCCGGGCAAGCCACTTCACCTCTGCTGGCCTCAGTTTCCTCATCTATGAAATAAGGAAAATAACAACATCTACCTCCCTAGGCTTGTTGTAAGGATTGAATGAGATAATATTTATAAAGTGCTTAGGACAATGCCTGACGCACAGTAGCTGCTTAATAAATACTTGTTTCTTGCCTTCCTTTATTCATTCCCCTACCACTAACTTGACCACTATTTTCCCTAAGACCTTGGGAGACAGCCCAGAGCCCTGAATCCAAGAGCCTTGGGAATAGCCACATCCCACAAACGACCAGAACTGCTTCCAGTCCAGCTCCCACAGCCATCATTGAGGGGAGACATTATTGTGGAGAGAGGGCCACCTTCATTACCACCAGCAACAGCTGCTGACCAAATACCACTAAGAGATGGGCATGGGAACCCAGGGAGTGGCAGCACCTACCAGTCGAGTCCTGCTTTCAGCCCAGTCCTCACAGCCATCATCTGGGGAAGCAATGCCTTTGGAGACTGGGACAACCACCCCTACCACTTGCCAACTAACTGCCACACCCAGGGCAGGTAAGCCAGCCTACCTGAAGCACTGAGGCACCCTGAGGGAGAAACAGGAGGCAGCCTGTGTCAGGCAAGTCAAGCTATCATTATCACCACCTTGACCACTGTCTTCCTTCAGACACTGATGGAAACAGTCCAGAACCCTGAACCCAAGAGTTTTGGGAATAATGATGCTTCCAGCCCAGTGCCCTCAATAACCCCCATGGAGATGCAGCCTGGCAACTGCTCCTGTAGGTGCTGCAGCCATAAGCTAGTGACCCAGAAAGGAAAGTTCTTGCCATCAAAGCCCTTGGTACTGTCAAATGTTTCAGTGTCAGAAACTGATATGATTTTATCAGCAGAAACGACATTAAAGAAAAGGCACTGACATTTGCTGTCATTGCACCGAAGTAAGAATCATGGGCCTTTTCCATTGGACATGCAACTGAAACTTCCGTATGTGTTGTCTTCTCCAAACCTTCTTCCTGCCTTTCCCATTACTGCTGAGGGTCCATCAACCTCCCATTCACTTGGGTTGAAGATCTAGGCGTCATCAGACTCACAATCTCTCACTCCCCATATCTAATCTGTTGCCAAAGCAACACTATCAACAACCTGGTGCAGGCTCCCAAGGCTTGACACCTGCATATCCAAACAGCCTGTGGGTAGATCTGCTTGCTACAAGTCTCTCTTCACGCTCCAGTCCGTCTTCTGTGATAGATGATCAATCAGACCCCTATTTATTTCAATCAGTATCAATCAGTTTGATATGATTCCATAAGTTCTATATATTAGGCCCAGAGCTGTGAGCTACCAGTTATGAAGTTCACATGCCTAACTACAAGAATGCTGATGACCAAGGCCAGAGAGGGTGGCAAACTCTGGCATCATATGGAAAGCCTCCCAATTTGTTTTTCGTACCTCCGTGCTACTGGTACCATCTCCTCTTGTTCAACATGAGGAGGAACCCATCCATCTTAGGATCAGTTAGTCAGCAGAGATAGGCCCCAGCTGACGCACCATTTTTGGGCTGATCCATCATTTCTGGTCCTCAAAAATACGTCTGCCAACCAATGGGATTTTGTATTTGACTTTGCCTCTGCTGAGTAGGTACCAACTCTAAAAAAACAAGGTCCTGGGGATCAGGGGGCATCTCAGATCATGAAGAAGATCTGAGGTCCACAGACCCTTACATGAAGTGCTACTGGCTTGGAGCCCTGCTTCAGTGCTTTTTCTTGCAGATTGGACAATTTTGGACCCCACACTTTCACTCAGTTGCCAAAGTGATATTCCTAAACCATAGGTCAGCCCTCACCACTGTATAAACACCAGTGGCTCCTTGTCACCTCCAAGATTAATTATAAAATCTTTTGTTCACCTTTTAAAGCCCTTTATAACCTGCTCACTCCCTCACCTTTCCAGTCGTCTTACAACCCTATTCCTTCTTTAAGTCCCCCTCCTCCTGCCCCAATTCTCTTTAATCCAGCGACACTGATCTCCTTGCTATTCCTTCAACAAGTACACTCTAGGCATTTTCACTGGCTGTACCCCATGTCTAGAATAATCTTCCTCCTCTGGCTCCGGGCTTCCTTTAAGTCCCAGCTAAAATCCCATCTTCTTTAAAAGTCTTCTCAACTCCCCTTAATTCTAGTGCCTTCTCTTGTATACAACTTGTTTGTACATAGTGATTTGCATGTTGTCTCCCCTACTAGACTGTAAGCTTTTGGAGGGCAGGGACTGCCTTTTGCCTTTCTTTTTGTCTGTCCCTAGTGGTTATCACAGTGCCTGGTATATAGTGAGCACTTAATGTTTACTGATTCACTGACAGAATGTTAAGCTCTTTGGAAACTGTGACTGTTTTTCCTATTTGTATCCCTAGTGCTCAGCATACAGTAACTTAGCAATTAGGAAGTGCTTTATTCATTCATTCAGGGTACACTGAAGATGAAAAGACACCCTTCTAAAGGTGATCCTGGTAACACTTTGTTAAGCCACATTAATACCTTTTTAAATACATGCATTCACAAGTATTTAATGAATACTTCCTAGTATTAGGGATAGGATCATAGATTTAAAGACAGAAAGGACCTTAGAGGTCTTTTTGTAGGTGAAGAGATTAAGGCCCAGGAAGGTTCCTGGCTTGCTAAAGGTTATACAGGTGGGAAGCAGAAGCATCATCACCCTGCCATTGGAGATTAGGCCTTTTTAAGCTTTGGCCAAGCTCCAAGAAACTCTACTGTTCTAACTTCTCATGTGACCAGACTGTGTTCCCGTGGCACTTTAGAGAGAGAGCAGGAAGGGACCATAGAGGTCACCTAGTCCCTGATCCAACCCAACACATGTGAGCACACACACTGGTCTCCAAGGACCATCTTCCTTCTCTATTTACTGGCTCCTGGCCAGTTACCTGCAAACATCTAGACGTCCCCTAGACTTAAAAACCTTTTCCCTGATGCGGCCCCCACCCTTACAAGCTGTGGTCCAGTCTTTTCCTTTCCATAGCTAAACCGATAAAGAATGGCTTATGATCAGAGCCCACAATATTGGTGTCATTTCTACTGTCTACCCCCTAGATTTGGTTGTTAATTATTTATTTAAATAGTTTGGGATTAAATTGTCTTGATTATATGCTATATGTTATATGATTATATATAATATATAATGTATATTATCTTATTTTTTAAAGCTAATTTTAATCTTAGATCCAATAAGCTGATAGCAACCACAAATAATTGATTCAGAGGTAATTCCTACATCAGTAACAACTCTTTTTGTGGGGTTACTGGCACTTTTCCTAACCAGTATTTATCAATTCTTTTCTCAAAGTGTTTACAATTTAAAAGTATGAGGCTTTTGTGTAACCTATATGTATTTGTGTTCTGTCATTCTTTATTCCAAAGCCATGTTTACACACATACAACATACATATATGTGTATATATACACATGTATATATATATACATATTTCTCCCATCTCCACTCTTCCACTTTTGCATTGTCACTAAGTGTCTGAACGTATGAAGATTTAATTTGGAAGGTTTTATCAAATTCATCTCTGCCTCTTCATCCTTGATAACCAATGGTTCAATAAAAAAGGGCAATTTTCATTGTTTTCTTTTGACAAATACTTATTAGCACTGCAATATATAATGTTCAAAGATCTCACAAAATTGTTTTTGCCCCTTTAGCTTAAATTTCTTTCTTTCTTCTGGTTTGGTTTACAGCAAGAATGTCAAGGTTGATATAATTCATTTACTCCAGCATATTCAGCCACTGGACAAGAATTTCACATTTAGAATAGCAATGATTACATTAAAGTTTATAGATGGTCTAAAAACTGTGTGAGGGCAGTTAGGTGGAGCAATGGACAGAGGGCTGGATCTGAAGTCTGGAAGACTCATTTTCCTGAGTTCAAATCTGGCCTCAGACACTTATTTGGTTGTGTGACTCAGGGCATGCAACTCTATTTGCCTCAGTTTATTCATCTGTAAAATGAGCTGGAGAAGGAAATGGCAAACCATTCTAGTATCTTTGCCAAGAAAACCCCAAACAGGGTCATGAAGAGCTGGACATGACTAAAAATGACTGAACAAAAAAACCTGTGTGATTCTTAGCACCCTCTGCCCCATTTTCAGACGCTTCAAACATCATTACTTCTGGTAACAGAAGCCAACAGACCTGATTGTTAGTTACAAGGGCCAAGTCTTCTCGTCCATTTGACTGGAAAACCCTAAGGGCACAGATAGGGTCAGTAAGCTCTCCAATTTCTTCTGCACCATTTCCTCTACTTACTCCCTCTTACTTCAGTAGGTAGCCCAGTCATCTGCACATACAGGTTATTTGGAAATGAAGTAAAAAGAAAGAACATAGACACCAAAGGAGAAACCAGGAGATTTAGTGACAAGAGGATGGTTAAGAGTAGAGATACTGAGGACCAAACAGACACTGACAGGGTGACAGGATGAGCATAGAGTTGTGAGGAGGAACAGAAGGACCTCAACCATCATACCCACCCCCAACAAATAAAATGTCAACCTCATATGGTGAAACTTTTTCTTATGGCTTTATTACAGACACACATATCAGACTGCAGTGTTTTGCAGATTTAGTTCCATACCACCTCCCCCATCTAAACTGAAACACTGGGGGACTTAGAAAAGGGGCTCTCATTTTCCCAGTTCTTATCTTCCTTGTTGGAAAAGAAACAGGATTAAGAGATATACCTTTTCAGACACAGCAAAGGTAAGGAGCTGTTTTGCTTGATTATGCTTATTTATTACAGGAGGTTGCTTTTTTTTTTAATGTGAGGGATTTAGAAGGGAGAAGAGAACTAGCAGTAGATATGCCAAAAAATAAAGAGTCACTACAGCATTTTAAAAATGCATAGAAGAGAAGAGGGTTCAGAAGGAGAGACAAGCAGGATAGCTCTAAAATTAACACATTGCATTTATTATATCCTTAAAGAATGCAAGATGTATATAAGAATTTTGTGCATAATCATATTTTGTGACTTCTGTGTATTTGGAAATGGTGATTTTGATGATATTTGTGGAGTACAGAATGACAAAATTAAAAAAGAAAAAAAAAGAAAGAAAAGAAACAGAGACTGAGGAATAGTCCTGTCTAGGAAGCTGTAAGGTTCCAACAGTTTCATCTTTTCTCTCTGGGAGAGAGCAAGGCAGGGTTTTCTTTCCTTGGGGAAAGCTCCCAGACTTATACTGTCCACTTCAAACACCTGGGGACAGAGTTGAGGCATCAGTTATATAGGGGAAGGTGGGGAGGGTAGGATAGGGTACAGAGACAGGAAAGGAGAGAGTCTCTTATGGAAAACGAGGTCTGGTCCTTTTTCCCATCAGTGAATTTACCTAGGTTATTTCACAGCAAGCAATTGTGAGTGGACAGTATATATGGGGACAAGTGGGAAGGGAACATCTTCAGGTTTCACCAGCACAAAACACATTGGGAGAAGAGGTAGAAGTAGACTGGCTTAAAGAGGGACTAGAAGAACTGTGCGAGGGGAAGAATGGGGTACAATCTTACCGAGTCTCTTGGTGTGTGCCAAGGCAGCGGACAGTACAGTATCTAGCCCCACAGCTGACACAAGTATAAGGAGAAGGGAAACCACACACTGCACAGAAGGGGCGCTGGGGCCGGGTCGGGGGCCCTGCACAGGCTGTGAGATAGTTAGGGCCCTCAGTCACACTTAAATTCTGGAAAAATGAAAGAAGTGGGGACATGGATCTACAGTTACCTCCTTATTGACCGATTCAACCTTGCCCCCTTCCCTGATGTTATTTCTATTTTTCTAACCTCTTATCCCCTAAGTCCCCGGCCCCCGATTCTCACCTGCTCTTCCAGAAGGGCCTGGAAGTTCTTTCGAAAACGCAGTTTAAAATGATCACCTCTAGTTTTCTTCTTCTTCTTTCCTGAAGGGGAATTGGAGTCATTCTGTGAGCTTTTCCAGTCACCTTTCTTTCCACACTTTTCCTCATCTTGAGGCAGATATCCCCCTAGACCATCACACTTCCACTGTGCCCCTTTCAGAGAATCACAGATTTCTTTTCTTCTTCCCACTTAAGCCCCCCTTTTATCTTTCCATGTCATTCACCGATTACCTCAAAAGCAGAGGTCATAGATCATGGATTGAAAGCTAAGAGACCTCAAAGCTTAGAGAGGTCTTCTTGTTCCAAGTCCAGTGTTCTTTCTACATGACCACGCTGCCTCAGATACAAAGACTAGCAGAGCTAGTCTATGAATTTAAATGGAACTGAGGGCTCCAACCTGTGAAGGGATTAGGGATATTAAGGGTTCTGCTAACCTAATTAGCTCAGACAAGAAAAGTGACTTGCCCAAAATCATAAAGGGAGTGAATGGCAGCACTGGGGCTAACAAGAAAGTACCCCTGACAATCAATCATTACAATCATCTTTTTCCCTCTATCAGGATGTTTTTCTTTCCCTTACAAGCTCTCTTGTACTATCCTGTCTAGTCTCTCTCCTTTCCTTTGGTCCCTTTTACTTCTGAAGCACTAGAGTGAATGCTCCAGCAGAGGATGAGTACAACATCTCAAACATGCCTCATCTCTATAACCAGCCTGGCCCTAGAACTCTACCCCTGTGTGGACTATAAGGCAGGACCAGGGACTGGATATCTGCCCTGCTTTCACACATATCACTTCTCCCTGGCCCCCCCACTTCTTTTTCGGAGTTGATAATGAAGTGAATATTGCCTCTTCTACTGTGAAAGGCATGACAGCCTAGTGCCCTACAGCTCCATGTAGAATCCATGCTTAGAGAAGGCTGCCTAGGCTTTCTACCACCACTCCCTGTTCCCTAAAACTCATGTTGGCTCTATTTCTCCAGTGTCTCTTTCCCACTCTTCCCTACCCTTGTATTGTGTCCTCTAGAACCTCTGTCTTATTAAATAACCCTACATATTAAGTCTGTACTCTCCACCAGGAAAATTACTTATATATTTGTATTTATATTATATTTAATTTCTGCCCATGAGAATATGAATTCCTTAAGGATGGGGCCCATATGCTTTTGTCTTTCTAACACAAGTAATTAACACAGTACCTGGGACTCTATATAGGCTTTTTTAACTTAATTGAATTAAGAGGCCCATATTTGAAGTCAAAGGACCTGATTTTGAATTTTGGCTCTTCCACTTACTCCTCCTGTGTTCTTCGGCAAACCACTACTTCTCTCTGGGTCTCATTTTCTTTTTCTTCAGGATAGGGGTTGGAAAAGAACAGAGGTTCTTCACCTGAGGCTATACACACACACACAAAATATATTGATAACTATATTTCAATATAATTGGTTTCCTTTGTAATCCTATGTATTTAAAAATTTTATAAAAATATTATGCAAAGGGTCTGAGGGCTTCACCACATTGCCGAAGGGAGGGTAGGGGGGAATGATCCAAAAAAAAGTCAGCCTCCAGTTCCGAAGATCTCCAAGGTCCCTTTCAGCTCTAAATCTTAACCTTCAAAATTTATATAGATAAACCACATTTCAATATAATTGGCTGCCTTTGTAATAGTACATATTTTACACATTTAAAAACATTCTGCAAAGTGTTCAAGCACTTCAGCCCACTGCCAAGACGGGGGCCCATGACGCCAAAAAGGTTCCGAGCGCCTGGTCCAGAAGATGCAGCTCTAACTCGCAGCCTCAGGGCAGCCAGGTGACGCAGTGGATAGAGCACCGGTCCTGGATTCAGGAGGACCCGAGTTCAAATCCGGCCTCAGACACATAACATTTACTAGATGTGTGACCCTGGGCGAGTCACTTAACCCCACTGCCTACGCAAAAAAACCAAACAAATCGCAGCCTCTGGGGCCGCAGCCGTCCGTCGCAGTCCCTTGCCCTCTCTCGCCCCGGCTCACCGGTGTCGGCATCATCGTCGAACTGCGGCAGCCTCTTGCCCAGCTGGGGAAGGCCGGCGTGGGGGTCGTCCTGGAAGTTGTCGTTCTCCAGGGCCTCCAGCTGCCTGTTGATCCGGCGCTGCCGGGCCGCCCGGTCCAGCACGCGTCGCTGCCCGGGGTCCTGGGACCGCACTGGGTGGAAGGAGAGGGGACAGCGGGGTCAGGCGGGGCGCCCCCGTCGGGGGACTGGCTGCCCGAGCGGCGCCGAGGGGCGGCGGGGTCCGGCGGACCCATCCGGGGAGGCTCACACTCACCCGAAGTCTTCTTCTCCACCATCCTGGCCGATGCAGCCCGCCGACAGCGGCGGCGCAGGCGCGGACTCTCGCCCGGAAGCGCCGCTGCGCTGAGATCCCAGCTACTTCCGGCGGCGCCTCTTTTACGTCAGAGGAAGGACGACATTTCCGAGGCCACCATTTTCCTTAAGGGCACCTAAGCGTAATCGAACGCGGGGCCCTACCGCTGCCACGTGTTGCCTAGGAGACAAGGAAGCTTTACACTTTGTTTCTTAGAGGAGAAGTCACTTCCGGTGCCACCGACGCCTCAGTTTCCCCATTTGTAAAAATGAAAGCTTTGGACCGCCTCTGGGGGTCCCTTCTAGATTTAGAAATATGATCCTATGACTTTTTGGGCTTGGAAATTTTGACGATTGTTATAAACTGATGAATAATGAAATAAACAGAACAAGGAGAACAATATCCCCGATATAAAAACAACTCTTCAGGGGGAATCTAGGTGGAGCAGTAGATACAGCACCGGCCCTGGAGTCTGAAGGACCTGAGTTCTAATCCCACCTCAGACACATTACACTCACTAGCTGTGTGACCCTGGGCAAGTCACCAACCCCATTGACTAGCCAAAAAACAAATAAATAAAAACAACTCTGAAAGCTCTAAGAACTATGAGCATTCATACGATGAGAATTCATAATTCTAGAGGACCAGAAATGAAACCTACCATCAATGATGTATAATGAATTTAGAGTACAGAATGAGATATCTATAATATACATTTATGTGCATATATTTACATACAATCATACAGAAAATTGTTTTTCTTCCTATACATATTTGTTACAAGGAATTTGTTTTCTCTTTTTTTCCCCCATAGAGTGGAGTGTTGGGATAAAAAAGTAGATTTCTGTTAATTATTAAAAATATAGAAGGGGTGCTTCATTTGTGGAATGTTGCATGCACTTTCAGATAAAGTCACTATTAATAGTTTTATTTAATTGTTTTACTTTGTTACAAAAGACTTCTTACAGAATGGGGGCAATTTGTAAGTAAAAGCAAAACATCAATAAAATAAAAAAAAATACATAGCAATTGGAGGAAAGGACATTAACACATGGGAGAATCAGGAAAGACCTCTTGAAGAAGACGCTTAAATTCAACCTTGAAGGAAGCTAGGGATTCCAAGAAGTGGAGGGGAGTAAGGAGAGCATTCTAGGCATGGGGAAACAACTTTTGCAAATGAGAAATGAGAGACAGAATATAATTTATGGGGAACAAGTGGGCCAGGTAGGTTGTGTGTGTGAGTAATGAGAATTTGCCAAGATAGGCTGGAGCCAGATTGTGATGATAATTTTCATTGTGTAATTTGCCTCTCAGAAATTAGAAGGGAGAGGCCATGGGAAATTCCTAAGAGCTGCCCAGGATAGTGGAAATAGGGCCCTGGATTCTAATCCTTACTCTTTTTAAGTGCCTTGTGTGTTTTTGGGCGACTCATCTAACCTTTTTTGCACCTGTTTTCTTGTCAATAAAGTAAATGATTGCTTCTAGTTTTGTATCCTACACTTCAGTGCTCCTTCTCTTTACCCTCAGCCTGTCTTCCTCCTCCCAATCGCGTGCCCTTTCCTTTTTCTCAGTCCCAAGTGTTCTCATCGCATCTCTCCATACTCCAAGTTTACCTGCCCTTTTCTAGTCCTTTACCTATACCCTCCTTTCTCCGAAGGACTCGTGGTTTATTAGGGCTGGAGGGGTCCTCAAAGATAGATCATCTAGTCTTTTTAAAGGTGAAGAAACTGCGAACTAGAAAGGGGGAGGGAACTCTTGCAAGGTCATACAGCTAATTAGTGGCACAGTCCGGACTAGAACCCTGGTCTCCTGACTCCTCAGCCCGTCTAAAGTCTATCATCCCCCCTACTCCCCCAATTTCTTTCCTCAATTCCCCCCAATAATCCAGTTTCACTTTCCCTAACCCTTTGCCCCCTTTTCTCTCCAATTTCTTCCCAATTCCCTTTCCCCACCTCCTATTCTCCCAAATCCTCTTCCTTCTCCCCTCCCCGCCCTACTCTCCCTAATATTGCCTGCCCACTTCCCCTAGACGTGCCCCCAGTAAAGCGTCTGCTAGCCCCAGCACAATCCCCGCCTTGTCTGAGAGTTGGATTTCGGTTTCCGTCGCCTCGGGTTACGTCTCCCCCCCCCCAGGTCTTCCAGAACACCACCTCATCCCTCCCCGAAGCTAGCCCCAATCCTTTCCCTTTTCCAGTGCTCCCTTTCTCCAGCTGGGATCTCTAGAGCCGACTCCTGTGCAGCCCGGGCCGGCGCGCGCCCGCCGGTGTCTGGCCTGGTCAGTATCACTGTCCACGCCCAGACATGAGCTCCCCAGGTTCGCTTCGCCTCCGGCTCAGGCTCGGGCTTCAGTGGGGACTGTCACCTCTGCTGCTGCTGCTGCTGCCGCTACCGTTGCAGCTGCTGGGACCCCCAGGCGCCTTGGCCTCGGCGCCCGCCTCTGTAGCGGACGGTGCCGCCAGCCTCGGCGGTGGCGAGAGAGTCAATCCCGGTTAGTGGCCGCGGAGTGCGGAAGGGGCCGTAGCTGGGGAGCTGGAAGAAGTTTCCTGGGTTTGGGATAGCGTCTAAGGGGGAAGTGGGCCATGGTCCCTGAAGTCCTCCATCTGGAGCCCCCAGGGTGGTGAAAAGGAGTGGGAAGTTTGAGAAGCAAAGCAAAGTCCCCACTCAATTTTCTCTGGCTTCTATTTTTCATCTAGAAAGGGGGCAACAAACACATTGCCCTCTTTTTTTTTTTTTGCTCTGGTTCTCTCTCCCCTTAATTAGCTCTCATCCCCCATCTGACATTCTTATTCTTACTCATGTGTAAAATAGGAGCCTTGAGTCAGGGGTGGAGGGCTTAGAGTTTTGGGGGGGGCGGTCCTTATTCACTGGTCACCATTTCAGATAAACTCCTGGTAATCACTGCTGCTACAGAGGAGACAGAAGGATATCTGAGATTCTTGCAGACTGCAAAGTTTTTCAATTACACTGTTCAGGTGAGAAACCCCTAGCTGGGTGGGGGAAGTTGGGAATGTGTGCTGGGGAAGGGAAGTAGGAAGAGCTGTGTATTGCACGCCTGGGTCCTTGAGGGGAGCAGGGTTTGTTTGGTTAAGACATTTCTTCTATATTAAGGTGTTTTGGGTAAATATATACATGACCTTCAAATATAATATTCTTGTTTCTGCTCACCATAACTAATTGCTATACATGCTTGGAGTCGCTACAAAGCTTAGAGTAAATATCTTTAGATAAGGAGGTATTTGATCATTGGACCTTTTCCTTGGCTTGGAGCAATTCATGGAGGCCCTTTAATATGTTTTCAGAATGGGTCTGTCTTGTTTCCTCATTAGAATATGGCCAAGTGATGTCCCACAGGGCTGTGTCCTAGGCCCTCTTCTCTTCTCCCACTCTACTGCTTCACTTGGTAATCCCATCAGCCCTCCTGGATTTAACTGTCATTTATCTCTATGTTGATAGTTAGTTTGCCCTAACATCTCTGTTAACATCTTGCATCTCTAATTGCTTTTTAGAAATCTTGAAATGGATTCTAGTACCTTCCCTCTGTTAATTATTTCCTATTTATCTTGTATATACTTTGTTTATCCTAGTTGCTAATTGTCTCCTATGTTAAATTGTGAGCTCCTTGAGGGCAGTGATTGTCTTTTGCTGCTTTTTGTATCCCCAGCACTTAGCACAATATCAGACACACAGTAGGTGCTTAATGAATGCTTATTGACTGGCAAAAAAAAAAAAGACATCTCTTCTTCCTGGCATTCTCTCTCCCTCCTACAGACACTGGGCCTAGGAGAAGAATGGAGAGGAGGAGATGTGGCTCGAACAGTTGGAGGGGGTCAGAAGGTTCGATGGCTGAAGAAGGAGATGGAGAAATATGCTGAAAGAAAGGACATGGTCATCATGTTTGTGGACAGGTAGAAGGGTTGGAAATGACTGATAAGAGTTGGGAGTGGGGAAAGGGAAAGTTCATTGGGAGAGACCCAGAATGAGCAAAGGCTTAAGATTATGAGATCATAGATTTAGAGCTGGGGGGAGATGTTAGGGGTCATCCAGCCTTATCATTTATTTTTCAGATGTGTAAAGTGAGACCCAAAGGGGTCACGATAAATGGCAGAAGCAAGATTTAAATTCTTGTCAAGTCAACAAACATTTATTAATGTATTTATTTATTTTTAGTTTTCAACATTCACTTCCATAAGATTTTGAGTTCCAAATTTCTCCCCATCTCATCCCTCCTCCCACCCTAAAACAGCATGCATTCTGAATACTCCTTCCCCTAATCTATTTTCCCGTAGGGCAGGATAGATTTCTACACCCCATTGCCTGAATATCTTATTTCCCAGTTGCATGTGAAAACAATTTTTAACATTTGGTTTTAAAACTTTGGATTCCAAATTTTCTCCCTTCCTCCCTTCCCACCCACCCTGGTTGAGAAGTCAAGTAACTAGATACAGGTTATACATGTCAACAAGCATTTATTATTTGTAAATGCACCCACCGTGCTAAGTAGTTGATACACAACTACAAGCAAAAAGTAAGAAAATTCTTGCTCTCAAGAAGCTTACATCTCTAACTGGGGAAGATAACACATAAGAGGGAGCTGAGCGAGGAGGGAGGAAAGTATCGTGGCAAAGTACAGAAAATCAGAAGCAAACCAGGAGAGGCATGAAGGATGACTGGCTTGGGGCCTTTCTCAAAAATGGAGATTCTGAGGGAACTCTCCAGTTGGAGAAGGAGGCCACAGGGGCAGAGGAATGTTCCAGGGCAAGAATGCCATAGGAGATGAGGGAACTTCCCAGGTGAGAAGGTATGGTTCACAGGGCACTTCCTCAAAGTAGAGGTTCCAAGAAGAACTCATCATTGGGAGAAGGGGACTCTTGGGTGCAGAGGGATGTCTTGGGGCAAGAAAGCCACAGGGACAGTTCTCTGACTTCAAATCCAACAGTCTTTCTGTTGCACCAAATCTATGTGCAGAAGTGGCAACTAGGGAGATAAAAGCTGTGGTTCTAAGAAGATGCTCTCCTCCTCCTTCGCCTAGCTATGATGTACTTCTAGCTGGGAGCCCCAAAGAGTTGCTGT